CCCCATTCTCCTAGTCCATCTGAGTGGTGACCCCACCCCATCGGCCTTGGCAGGCACCTTTCTTTGGCCCTGTGGGCATGGTGGTCTTATCCCTATGGCATACCTTAACAGAGGCCCCACACTCTGGAACCAAGTTGCTGAAGATCTGACTCTTTGAAACCTAGGAGGCTGTGGTCCACCCCTTTGAGATCCAGGAGACTGTGGCCCCACCCTTTGGAACTGAGAAAGCCTTGCTTCCCATCCTCCTTCCACCAGCTCTGCTGACCTTCAAGCTGCTCCAGGGATGGTCCTTTCATTTTCTCAGGAGACAAGAAATGTCACTCCTTTGGCCTGTGTTCTTTCCTTCCTTCCTTCTCTGTCCTCTTCAGTCTAAGCTGATGGGTTCTCTGCTGGGGTAGTTGGTTGGATCCATCAGTCACAGGCTTAACAAAACATTGTGTAGCTACATTCTTGGTGAACGTTCTAGGACACGTGTCCTTAGTCTGTACAACAGAATTTTCCAAATCTTTATGTTGTTTTCATTATGCATAGTTCATTTTTAAGTTCATCTCTTTCCTCTCACTTTCTACTATAAGCATGTGACCTCTTCACGATCTTGCTTAGAAATCTCCTCTGCCAGATAGCCAAGTTCATTACTTACAAGTTCTGCCTTCCACCAACCATTTGATCATAATTCAGACACGTTCTTTGCCACTGGATAAAAAGCACCACCCTTCCTCCACTATCCAATCACACGGTCACCATTTTCTTCTAAAGCCGCACCAGAAGCACAGTTAGCGTCCATGTTTCTAGGAACATTCTATTGCTGGTGCCATGTGTGTTCTCTAAGGGGAAAGAGACTTTACAGCTCTCCTCACTCTCTTCTGAGCCCTCACCAGAATTACCTCTGATGTTCGTAATTCCACCAATAGTCTCTTTGAGGCAATTTAGGCTTTCACTATTAGGCACCTTAAAACTCTTCCAGCCTCTACCCATTACCCAATGGCAAAATTGTTTCTATATGATACGTATCTATTAGAGCAGCACCCCACTCTTCCAGTACCAAATTCTGTCTCAGTTACCTAGTCCTGCTATAATGGAAATATGACAAATGGGTGTCTTTAACAGATTTACTTTCTCACAGTTTAGGAGGCTAGATGTCTGAATTCAGGGTGCCAGCCGTAGAGGAAGGATTTCTGTCTCAGTCAGCTTTGGAGGGGGTTCCTTTTCACTTCAGTTCCTGCTTCCTGGTTCCTTGGAGATCCCCATGTGTCTTGGTATCTGTCTTACCCCATCTCTCTCTCTCTTTCTCTACCCACCTTGTTTAATATCTTTTATATCTCAAAAGAGATTGAGTCAAGACACACCCTCTACTCATCCTGCCTCAATGACATAACAAAGAGAACTCCTTCTCAGATGGGATGGTAACCACAGGAATAGAGGTGTCCATGTGCAGCACATATTTTTTGGGGATACAGTTAAACCTGTAACAGATATTATTATAAATAGCATGTATCTTGATACTGATTTTGTATCTTGCAAACTTGCTGAACTCATTTATTCATTCTAGTAGTTTCTTTTAGTGGATTCCCTAGGATTTTCTGCGTACAGAGTTACATCATCTGCACATACAGTTTTACTTCTCCCTTTCCAGTGTGGATGTTTTGGATTTTTCTTTCTGGCTTCATTGCCCTGGCCGGAACCTCCAGTACAACGTTGGATAGAAGTGGAAGGAAGCAGACGTTCTTTGCCGGAACCGCGATTTGAACATCTCTTCTTGCCTCCCTTTTTCAATTTTTTGCATTCGTATGAGGTGGTTAAAAGACCATAGTTTGGGTTGGATGTACCTTAGTCATCAAAGTGACAGCTTTGCTTTTGAAAACGTTAAAGAGGTCTTTTGCAGCAGATTTGCCCAACACAGTGTTTGATTTTGACTGCTGCCTCCAACCCATCGTTATTGTCGGGTACTTTCGAGTTGACTCTCACTCAGTATGACCCCACATGACAGAACAGAACTGTCCATTGTAATGCTTACAGGAGCAGAACTCCAGCTTTTCTCTCTTGGAGCCACTGAGTGGGTTTGAACCTCCAACCTTTCAGTTAGCAGCTGCCCACATAACCATTGTGCCACGAGGGCTCTTTTCCTTAACGGTATCCATCCAGCTGTTAGCTCCCTGCAGTGAATTTTCTTTTTTTTCCCCCGGAAACTACATCTTTCATGTCTAGAATTTCCATTGCATTCTTCTGTTTCTGTCTGTTGGCTGATACTTCCCATGTCCCTGGTGACACTTGCATGCATTGAAGTAGTTTTGTTTTCCTTCATTGAAGACAGTTGTCACAACAGCCACTTCAGCACTGTTGTCCGATAGTTCCAACATCTGATTCATCTCAGGGTCAGAGCCAGCCGACTGTCTTTGCTCTCCAGAATGTTACCATTGTCTTTGGTCTTTGTCGGGAGAGTCTGGACGGCATCTTGGACATTATGAAAGTTACAGAGACTCTAAAGTTTATTTTTCTCCACTGACCATTACTTCCTTTGTTCAGAAGGTTTTTCCATGCTGGGCTTGACCTCTAGTTTCTGTGTCTTGAGTGGCAGCTCTGGCCTCTATCGAGATGTTTTGTGGCTTCACCAAGGCTGCTAGGGTTGTGTTCTGTGTCTGTGTTCCTGAAGGGTCTGTGAGAGATGTGGGTAGGTGGTGTTTGGGCATCCTTCCCCCCTTTTCTGCCTTCAGTTTTCAAGTTTTTGTTTCTTTGTTTTTTGAGGTCAGAAAGACTCTGCCCACCCCAAATGCCCCAAACCAAACCCGTTGTGGTGGAGTTGATTCTGACCCACAGCTCCCCTAGAGGGCAGAGTGGAACTGCCCCACAGGCTTTCCAAGGCTGTCAATCTTCACGGAAGCAAAGCCCAAACCACACCCACTGTCTTGGAGTCCATTCCAACCCACAGTGCCCTTAGAGGACAGAGTGGAACTGCCTCACAGGGTCTCCAAGGCTGTCAATCTTCACAGAAGCAAAGCCCAAACCACACCCACTGTCTTGGAGTCCATTCCAACCCACAGCGCCCCTAGAGGACAGAGTGGAACTGCCCCACAGGCTCTCCAAGGCTGTCAATCTTCACAGAAGCAAAGCCCAAACCACACCCACTGTCGTGGAGTCCATTCCAACCCACAGTGCCCTTAGAGGACAGAGTGGAACTGCCTCACAGGGTCTCCAAGGCTGTCAGTCTTCATGGAAACTGACTGTCTTATCTTTCTCTCATGGAGTGGCTGTTGTTGTTGTTGTCATGTGCCGTTTAGTCAGCCCCGACTCAGAGCAACCCGTCCTTGGGTTTCTGAGGCAGTATCACTATGGAAGTAGATTGCCCAACCTTCCTTCCGAGGAGTGGCTGGTGGGTTTGAACCGCCAACCTTCTGGTTAGCAGTCAGGGGCCTTAGGCACTATGCTACCAGCGGGTTCAAAATACTTCTCTCTCAGTTAGTAGCTGAGCACTTAACCACTGTGCCACCAGGGCTTCTTACGAGAGCCCCAGCGTCCTAAATATCTATGCCAAGAAGAATGCACTTAGCCCCAAGACAAAAGCTTTGAGATGGGATCTAACATGTACAACCCTTACCTACCAAGTGTCCACTGCCCACCCGAGTCGGAGGGCCTTGTCCACGCACTGCAGTGCATTGTCTGGGTCTAGTTCTGTGGTGGATTTCCGCAGAGAGTAATTGTCATCCGATACAGTCTCTCCCTCGTACCTGAAGCAGTGTCCTCACACCTGTGTTTACCGGCCCTCACCAGCTGCCTCCCTCTCAAAAAAAAGATTAACTAATGGGGTCATTAAGCTTTGCAAGTGGCTCTCTCCTGCCAAGGGCCCCCAGGCACGTTCTTGCTGTGGGGGCTGTCTCTGTTGGTGCCATGGGGCCGGGTCTCCCAAAGGAACCGTTGACAGGCTGCTGCCTCTCAGGAGCCCACCGGCCTGCGGGTTGGAAGTGGCTTCTCTGTTTCTGTGCTGTGGGGCTCAGGGCAAGTTGCAGGCCCTCTCTGGGGTGACGGCCAAGGCGCTTCTGGAGACATGTCTGGAGACGTGTGGTCTAGCGTTCTGGCCCTCCTTAGGTCCCATGGGGTGAATGCCCTCGAGGCCTGTCTCCAGGGAGAAGTGCCGTCAACCCCCGTCACATACCCTCCCTGGGCACTAACTTTGGGCCAGCTCTGAGCTGTGTGGTACTGGAGTCTTGGAAAGTGGGGGGCTGGAGCAGGCAGAGACAGGGACAGAAACTCCCAGTGTGTCTGTTGTGACAGGGGCAGTCTCCCAGGACTGCCACGGGACAGTGAGGCGAGTCTTGTCATGAAGGATACAGCAGTTTTCCAAGTATTGGGGGAGACACCAGGTTCCAGCAGAGGCAACAGAACACATGAAAGCCAGGCCTCAGTAGGACTGCGTGTACCTGGGTGTTGGGGAGAGTCTGGGCAGGACCGAGGCTTTGGGTCAGGGCCACTCTTGGGCCGCAGGAAGCCGGTTCCAGAGCTGTGTGGGCTCAGGGGTCTCTGCTTTCTGTGGGCGTGTTTGCCACATAAGCGGATGTCGGGGGCCTCCCAGCTCAGAGAAGTAGCAGGAGAAGCAGACTGGGGAGGCGGCCCAGCAGGGCTGTGGGTTTTGTGGGGCTTTCCCAGGTCTGGGGCCCTCACCACTCATCTGGACTGGTGTCTGGGATTTCCATGGGGGGGCCCTGGAGAGCGTCTTGCTGGCCCCAGCACTAATCTTAACATAGCCCACGCTGGTCTCTGGGCCGCAGAGAAGACGTCTAGGGTAAGAGGGGACCACTGCCTGCCACTCACGGCCCTGAATGCATTCCCTTCTCTGGGCCTCAGTTTCCCCCTCTAGAAACGGGGAGAGACACCAGTACTCACAGAGAGGACCCCTGGGAGGTGCACGGGGCCCGTGGCCATTTTGTCGGGGGCCCTCGAGCGGGGTGGGTGGGAGGAGGGGCCCCAGGAGACCCCTTCCACAACGCTCTGCGCCCCCTTGTGTCCAGGCACAGAGTTCGAATACACCGACTCCGAGAGCGAGGTCAAGGTGCGGAAGCGCTCGCCGCCCGCGGGACT